GGGGAGCTTGGACAATTTGGAATTCGTGTGAATTGCGTGTCCCCTTATTTCATTGCCACACCACTTGTTAAGAACATTTTAAAGCTTGATGAAGAAGGAGTTCGTAAACTTTATTCCAATCTAAAAGGGGTTCATCTTGTGCCTAATGATGTGGCTGAAGCTGCTCTTTATTTGGGTGGTGATGAATCCAAGTATGTTTGTGGTCACAACCTTGTGATAGATGGAGGGTACACTGCTGTGAACAGTGGGTTATCTACGTTTGGGCAATCTGAGTAAAAAAATTGTATAAGTCAATTGTTCGTTTAATTTTGAATTATATCTGAGTAAAAAAAATTTATATGCAAAATTGTTAAAGTATTTAAACAAAAGTAATTGCATATAGGGATGACAATGGGTAAAGTATCCGATGAGCACCCGCAAAATTTACCTACAATGGATAGAGTATTTACCCGCTATACGGGTACGGGTATGGGTATGGGTAAAAATCCGCAAATTTTAATGGGGATGGGTGCGAGTATGGGTATCTAAGTACCCACCCCGCTCCATACCCGCATATATATATATATATATATATATATATGCTTAAACTTTATTCTATAATTATACATTGAATTTTTCTATTATTATATTACTTATGTGAAGTTATATAAGATTAATATAAAAATATATTTAATAATAAAGTAAACAAAAAAATTTATTTTAGTTTATATTTTTAATAGAAAAATTTATTTACTATTTTATATCATTTAATTAGACTAACACAATTTAATTATTACATAGTTAATATGAGATTGACTTTTTTTAAAATATTATTTATATATGACACACATAAAATATTTTTTACACAAATATTTTTGTTAATAAAATCATATTGATGTTTAAATCATAAAGTGAATGATAAATAATAAATATATTATAAATATTTTATAAATTTTACAATCACCTACAATTAACGTAAACTTATTATTTATTAATAATATTTAAATTTTATTTTTTATATTTTAATTGAAAATAATATTTTTCTATGCAACATATGTATTACAAGCACAACTATTATCTATTGAATATAAATAATATTATTCTTACTATTTATTCATATTCAAAGAAGTTTTTGAAAAGATATAAATATAAAAAATTATTGTTAATTTTTATTTGTTAATTTTTTCAGATAAAAAAGTATAATTTTTTAATATACACGTATATTTCTTTATTATAAAATTTTATTGTAACTATTTATCTTTTATTCAAATTCTTTCTTTAAAAATTTATATACATTATAAATATTTAATTCACTAAAATAATTTTTCAAAAATTTATATTTTTGATAAAATACTTTCGTATAGTATATGAGTTAAAAAAATACTAGTATTAATATATATATATATTAATTATATTATATTATTTTAATTAAATCTATTATTTTTCTTACAATTTCAAATTCAAAAGTTAAAAAAAAAAATTTTATATATCTACTTTCTGTTGTTAGTATTGAACTTCTCTACTCTAACTCTATTCTCATTCTCAATGTCTGTCTCACTAAAACTTAATAATTATGAAACGTTATTCATTAGAATTAGTTGTCAATGTCGTCACAAGAAGTTACTAAGTGATACCACACGAAGGGACAACCATTATACAGATCTATTTTGTTGTCGCTCTGACATTACCAATCAATCAAATCTCACACAAGATAGGATTATCACTGACAAATAACTTGTGTGTTTAGTTTTGCTTATTGTTTTTAAGAATTTTAGTTTAAAAAATTATTATATTAAGATATATTTAACGTTTATGATCTTTGAATATTTGTTTGTTATCTATGTTTGTACCTTGTTCGGCAACTACATATTGAATTTTTGTATTATTATACTACTTATGTGAAGTTATATAAACATATTTTTCTTTATAAATATTTTTTCTCAAACAAGCGCGAGTAATGGATACAAGACGGGTATGCGGATACCCAGAGGGTACGGGTACGAGGATTAATGTTCATACCCACGCGGATATGGAGCCAGGTACGAGTATTTTTTTAAAACGCGGATATGGGGATGGGTACTGTAGTACCATACCCATACCCTACCTATTGCCATCCCTATGTATGATAAGTTTCTATGTTGAAATAGTATTTGAAGTGATTTTGAAATCTTTCTCAAGTTGATAATAGAGTGGGCATAGTCCCGCTTTTATTTTCTCTCCTTGCCTTCTCAAGATTTCCTATATCTATTCCAACCAAACTCGGATATAATTTAGGGGTGAATACACTTGACATCTAAGAATGAATCAAGAAATTCAAAAGCAAAAAAGAAAATGGACAGAGGTCACAATTATGAGAGTTTGGATAAATAAAAATAAATTTAACCTTTATTTAATATCAACCGATACACTAATTATATCAACAAATTTTGGGCTACACCACAAGGTTGGTTTGGATCAACAATAAACTTGCGAAGTTATGAATTCTCTATTTCATATCTCTTATTCTTATGACTTAGTAGTAAAAGTAAACAACATAAATATTATGATCACGTTCAAATTGAGTGTGAAAATTTTCCACTTTTCCCTTTTCCAATTTCCAATTTTTAATTCCCCTCCCCCAGTTAATGACAAAAAATAGGCTTCATGTCTGTTATCTTGGCTTTAGTCTTAAATAGGGTTTTTCTTTTTTTAATTTCTCTAATAAAATAATGATAGAATAACTAAAATAAAAGACATTATACATGTCATATTCTAATGTGTTACGCATACGGCAAAGACATAATACATAAAAAAGATGACATGTGGTAACATCGCATTTCATATATAGCACCCTTTATCTTTTTCTTTTTTTATTAATATATCAACGTTATATGATGTATATATTATTTTTTAATGTATAACAATATCTGTTATAACTTAAGTGAAATATATTATTTTGTTGTTAGAGTGATTGTTTACCCCAACAAAATTTAGATACATTATAAAATTAAAATTAAAATAACTAAACTACTAATTTTACTTAATTTAAAAATAACTATAACAATTTAAAAAGGCATTAAAATGCGTTATATGTAAGAGAAATTGTTAACAATTAAAATAAATTATTTAATTAAAATATAATTGCTATTACAAATATAAATACTTAAGAAATAATTTTTCTATTAAAAACTAATACACTAAAAAAAATTTAGCTTTATTAATAGTTAATTATATACTTAAAAAACCATAAAAAAAAACTCGTTAGAATGTTTTTTTAAAACAAACTTTATACGACAAGTTAAAATATGAACTATTTCAACATTAAATTTTATATTCTATAACTTCATCTATTTATTGAGTTTGGAAGAGGTCTTTTTCTTAATAATTAAACAAACAACTTTAATTCAAATTTATCTTCTTTTAAGATAATAAGACTTTAACTTTAATTTATCTTTTTTTTGATAATAGTGTAGTTAATAATGAGTTAGCTTTTTATAGACTTTATTATCTTGTAATAAATTTAATTTCTAACATAAATATACTGAATATAATGCTTTATGTTTTATTTTTTTTTATATTATTGTTAAAACTACTTACTTCAGTATTTTTTATTATAAAATTATCTATTTTTAATTATACTCTTTGTCTCTTGTGAACAAACCAATGGTATATGTTTTTTTTTGTCGACCATAATTCAAAAGGCAATACAGCAGTGACCAATTGAAGCTAAACTAGGCCCTTGCCAAACAATCTGAATAAAAAAATCTGTATACGTCAATTCTCATAATCTTGTTGACAAAAAGAAACTCATAATCTTATATGTTAACTTGCCATACCAGACCCTCATCAACTTCAATTTATTGTAGTTTTTTTCGTCTTATCAATGCTATTCAATATTCATCATGGAAACGCAGTCCACAAATACATTACGTGACAATTATAATCATGGATCTCTCATTTGTCTTCTTGCATTTGCCAAACAGGTGAAAATCCAATTATTAGCGCACACACTGGCCGAATATATGTTAATCATCGTACAAAAGCATATATATTTAAAGAACAAAAATATATTAAACTTTTAAAAAAATAAAAGATGTCAAGACGTCTGTGAGAACAAAAAGTTTAAAAGACATTGATTTGACATAATGAATATGAAAAGAAGCAAATTGCATACATATTAATTGAGACTAGTACACTTTTTAAAAATAAAAAAATAATCTCAATTCTAAGAGTTAAGGTTAAGCAATTAAAAATGATAAGTTTTTACTAAAAATATTTATAAATTTAAAAATATAACAAATATTATACTTTTTAATAAAAAGTTTATTATATATAAATCCTTAAATTTAACGTTAAGTGTTGAAGTTCATAAAATAACAATGGGGTAAATCACAAGAAAAAGTAGCGACAAAATTTGCTTGTCCCCAGACCAACCCTATCATGATGACCCAGCCAAAGACGCGTCAGGTTGCAAACAAGCTACTAAAAGAATAACTGCTGACCAAGAACAGGGAAGCCTCCCTGATAATAATCATCCTCTGTACACTCAATTTTTTTTGGGAGATTGAAAAGAGGGAAAGAAAAGAAAAAAAACAAGTATATTGATGTGATCAAAAAATATTTTTTAAGCATCTAAAGGTGAATATTTTAAAGTTTTTTTTTTCATGTTTTATAGTATATTTTTAAACTATGTATATAAAAAAATAAAAATATATAAAAAGTAAGTAAACGAAAAAAAAATATTATATGTAGTATGAACTCTTAGAGATTTAAATAATAGAATTAAAAAAAATTAATCCACTATTTATATGAGAAGCAACAAGGCAAAAGCCAGTTGCTCTTTTGGTCTAGAGGGGTTGAAAGGGAATATCGCATGCTCCTTTGCTCGCTTATCCCAAAACTCTGTCATGGCAGGTGTCTCCCTGGTCTCAGTAGCCGCAAGAAGGTACAGAAAATTACGACTCTTTCTGATTTTCATATATATACTCTTACAGAACTACAAGCAATATCACATAAAATGCAATGCTTAATTGATCTTGAAGGCTTGAGGGAAAAGTAGCCCATATCACTGGTGGTGCTAGCGGCATAGGTGAAGCCACTGCAAGACTCTTCTCCAAGCATGGAGCACATGTGGTGATAGCTGATATCCAAGACGATTTGGGTCACTCGGTTTGCAATGACTTGGATTCATCATCCTCAGCTTCCTATGTTCATTGTGACGTGACGGATGAAAAGCACATTGAAGATGCGGTGAACACAGCGGTTTCCAAGTATGGGAAACTAGATATCATGATGAATAACGCTGGCATATCTGAAGAGATCAAAACAAGCATACTTGACAACCAAAAATGTGATTTTGAGAGAGTCATTAGTGTTAATTTGGTTGGTGCTTTTCTTGGAACAAAGCATGCTGCAAGGTTCATGATTCCTGCTAGAAGGGGTAGCATAATTAACACGACTAGTGTTTGTGGAAGAATAGGTGGGGTGGCTCCACATGGGTACACAAGTTCCAAACACGCCCTTGTGGGACTGATGAGAAACACTGCGGTGGAGCTTGGGCAATTTGGTATTCGAGTAAATTGCTTGTCCCCTTATGTGGTTGCTACCCGGTTGACTTTGAAGCATATGAATGTTGATGAAGAAAATGTCGGTGAGATTTATTCCAACCTAAAAGGTGCTCATCTTGTGCCTAACGATGTGGCCCAAGCTGCACTCTTTTTGGGTGGCGACGAGTCCAAGTATGTTAGTGGTCATGATCTTGTCATAGATGGAGGCTTCACTGTTGTAAATAATGGGTTTTGTATGTTTGGCAAATCTGAGTAATAATTTGGATGCGAGTCTTTAAACATTTATAGTTGGTGTTTGTATTTGGCTAGAATCTAGGGGTCAAGCTTCTTCAATCTGTTCTTGGAAGGCTGCCAGCATATGCCAGAAAGAAGGCAATTCAACACTCTTATTTCTCTACTCACTTTTTCTCGTGTTCATTCTTCATTTCTCTCTCTCTCTATTTTTCCATCCGTTTAACACTTAAATTTAAGTTTCAACCAATCCTTTTCCCATCATATAGGGTATATCTATGCCTCAGTTAGCTAGCAGATTTAGCCCTTGTTTTTCAAAATAAAGCTTTACTCGTCAAATAGATGCTTTGAATATTATTATTCTCACTCATTTTTTTATAACATTTTTTACAATTAACTTTTTTATTTTTGTCTATCACATTATTTTTATCATGTAACATTTTTCTTTTAGATATTTGACTCTTTAAAAGGTCGAGATTCGTAAATCAATAAAACGAGGCTTGACTTTCTACATGGGCGGCTACAATATGCATTAAAATAAAATAAAAAACGAGGCTAAATCCTTTTCTTGTCTCTCTGCTTATGGTAGAATCGTTTTAGGTTTTTTTTTTTTTTTAAATAAAAGTAAGATTACTCATATTCTTATCCACTCGTGAGTTTTGTGGCCAAGATGTCCCCTGCTGTTGATCTTGACTTTCTAGAGCGAACTAAAAATTAAAACTAGATGAACTCCGTTTGAAGCATAATAATCAATAATTGTCAAACCTCTTGAACCTTTGTTTCACAAACTGCTTTACCACTAGAGTCATGACAAGTGTTTCAAACCCAAAATTTGGATACTAGTTTAATTTAATTATTTGTCATAAACTTAGATATTTAGAAATTGAAACATAGGCTAGAAGGGAAGGTAGCGTTGATCACCGGCGGGGCAAGCGGGATCGGCGAGTGCACTGCACGAATCTTCTCTCGGCATGGAGCTAAGGTAGTGATCGCTGATATCCAAGACGAATTGGGCCACTCTGTTTGCAAAGATTTGGATTCATCCACATCCCCTGTTTCTTATGTTCATTGCGACGTGACAAAGGAAGAACAAATTGCACGCGCGGTGGACACGACAATTTCCAAGTACGGTAAGCTAGACATCATGTACAACAACGCAGGAATAAATAACCCGTTGAAACCCAGCATAGTAGACAACGAAAAATCTGACTTTGAGGAAGTGATCAACGTAAACTTGGTTGGTGTTCCTGGGAACGAAGCACGCGGCGAGGGTGATGATCCCTGCTCGACGTGGCAGCATAATTGCAACGGCAAGCGTGTGTGGACGCTTAGGTGGTGCCAGTTCACACGCTTACACGTGTTCCAAACATGGTGTGGTGGGTCTGGTGAGAAGCTCTGCTGTGGAACTTGGAGAATTCGGAATTCGCGTAAATTGTGTTTCTCCTTACGTGGTTCCTACTGCGATGAGTAGAAGACAGCTTCGCAGTGATGATGAGGGAATTGGTGCTCTTTATTCCAATCTCAAAGGTACTGTTCTTAAGGCTCAAGATGTTGCTGAAGCTGTGCTTTACTTGGGCAGTGATGAATCTATGTATGTTAGTGGTCATGATATTTTAGTTGATGGGGGCTTCACTGTTGTTAATTCTGGTTTTTCTGTGTTTGGACAATCTCTCTAGTGTCAGAGAAATGTTAGGTTCACGTGTAAATATTAATATTAGAAAAATATTATTAAAATCAATATCTATTATGTTTTTAATATAATAAAAAGTGTGTTTCGTTTATAAAAATTTATTCTTTTTCAGTGTTTAACTAACATGATTAAAAAACAATAATTAAGCCTAAATTAATCAAGCTAACATTTACTTTATTATATCTTATATGTTATTCCATAAGTTTAACGAAAATTAATTGGATAGATTAAGATTTTTTATATGATTAATTTTAAGAATTAAATTGATAAATATATTACAATTAAAAAATTTATTTTATAATTTAAAAAATAATTTTAAAAATGTTTACAATTTTAGAAATTAACTTAAATAATGCTTATAATTTTAAAAGCTAAAAATTCTGACTAAGCATAGACAAGTCATGGCCTCTCAATTTACCATTTTCAATGTTATTCCTTCCTTTGCTTCATTTTTTGTTTGTTGCACTGTTGTTCTGTCGTTGTTGAGATAAGTTGTGTTAGATAGTTTAGTCTCTCCTTCCGTTCATAAAAAAACAAAATTCTCTTTGTATTTTTAAAAATTAAATTAATGAATATTTATGATTACAAGAATAAAAATAAATAATTTTATAAACAAATAAATTAATTTTTTTATATATAATTTTAAGTTTTAACATCTAAATTCACGATTGGCTATAATTTATAAAGTGCTTCACAGGGTAAGCCATTGTGTTTCTAACCGCAGACAATCAAATCACATCCTTTCGTCTTCAATGTTACTGTTATAGCTGTGAGCACCTAAACACAAAGTTAGGACTCTTTTAACGCTTCGAATAATTCAAATTTATTACACAGTCCAAGTCTTTTAATCGTGAAGCCTTCGCGTCCTGATGCAAAATTAATTAAATTCTTTCACGGTGCAGCTTTTCGAGATCGAAGATGAATTTAGGATTTTCTCGCTCACACGGATCCGTAAGTATTCTGTTTTAATTTTCAAAACCAAATTTTCCGTTGTGCAACTTCTCGATTATCATCGTTTTCTTTTCCTTAATTTGAACCTTTTTATTTTTTTTTATAGCAATTGACCTATATTGACTAGAGTGGGGGTTCCAATTTTGCGTCAGAAAAAAAATTCAAAACCCTAATTCCCACGTTTATTTAATCTCAAATTCTCTCCTCTTCATTGGTTTTCTAGCAAGGAGTAATCAAAAGGTGTTTTTTTGCTTAGATTGTGTGACTACTAACTAACTATTAACCAACTGTCTTTTTGTAACATCGCGGTTTTTGTTGTTGTTTGCATCCTCTGCAGGTGTTCTGCTTGTAATTGGAAACGATGTCGCGACCCATTTTGCTTGTCTTTTTGCTGCTCATACTTATAATAACCTCTCAGTTTGAGTGGAAGCAACAACTTGTGATTGATGTTGACTCTAATTCCAGCTTATCTCAAAAGCAGCAACAGATTTCTAACAGGGTGGAAGCCGTAAAGGAGAAGGTGTTATAATCTTTTCCCATTTTCCATAGTGGGTTCAGACTTGAGTTATGGTGTAATATCTCTTTTTTGTGGTTCTGTTATTGGGTCAACATTGTGTGTTTTGATACTAGCTTTGATCTCTTAGCATGCAGCATTCTTGAAGTTACATTGTGATTATGATATAGATTGTTATCAGATTATAACAAAGTTGACATTTAAGTTTCTGATCTCCTTGGTAACATTGTTTGCATCGTTGTGCACGTGCTTGTATGTTTGCCTGGATCCATTCATTTCATTATGCAGGGTATGAACTTGAGGATCCAAGTAGGTTTGTCTAACCTTCAAGCTATTCTCATTCTGAATTTTGTTGAAGGGGTGAAGAGGTGGTTTGTATTCACTTTTCAAAATTGATTTTTAAGGAACTTATTGAATTTGGTTAAATCTTGTGCTAATGGTTTCCCTCTAACTTTAGAATAAAACCTGAAAACTGAAATAATCCATGAGTTCAGAAATTCTATTTTTCCAACCCAAGATAGTCATTTTGTATCTAAATTATTTGGGAATAGCTGTTTCGGTGGAGCCTCTCTATTGCCTAGTTTTGCATGCAAGGAGATCTTGCTTGGGTTGTAATTCAGTTGGTTCTTTCATTATAAAATGAATAGAAATGTGAAGACAGTTGCAATTTGTTAAAATTATCTACGTGTATGTTATCTTTTGATTTAATATAACATTTTATGGTAACTCATAGCTTTTATATGGAAAATTGTGTCATTGAAGTCTTTGTTTAGGATCTGTCTCTAAACAAGTCATCCTTGGTGACTAAGAAAAATAAGGAAAAGGCTTTTAAACAATGAGTGCCAATTTGAAAACAGTCTCCTTATTACATGGTTTTGCATTCATTGGAACATTACAATCCACCTGTTTATTGTTTGCATGCAGCATATCCCTGTTTTGACCACTTATTATGTGATGAAATTGGCCTAGGCAAAGTAAGAAAGAAATGAGATGGTGTGACTTTATGGTGCATGCACATTGTATGGAACTCAGCAGTTTCTTAAATTATGCATTGTGGAAAAGTTATATATTTAGAATATGAAGTGCATTTCTCTAATTTGCTGTGCTTCATACTGTGTATGATCTCAATTCCAAAATTATTAGAAAATTTTCTTTAGATCTTGGATCTGGGACCATACTACTTTTAGCCAGAAATTTACTAAATTCTTTCAATTTATGTTACTTGCGCGTGCAGATTATTTTAGTGCAAGAGAAAAATATTCGAAGATTGAATGATCTTGTGCGGCATCTCCAGGAACAGTTGCAGCAGTGTAGAAGCAGTAATGGTACAACAAATGGCACTGTAAGCCCGTTAGCTGAGCGTATACTTGAGCTTGAGCGACATCAAATTTTAGAGGATTAAGCTGACACATGTAATAGTGGCTTTGCTTTTTCTTTCTTTCTTTTTTCTTTTTAATCAAATTGCAAAGTTGTTTTAAGTAGTTCTTTGAAAGGAAACGTTGTAAAAGATTTACTTCCATTTGTTAACTACAATTATATTTGGCTTAATTGCATTTATTTTATTTTATTTTTGTCTCGTTTAGATTACATGCAATTTTGGTTCTTCCAAGTTTTTTTTTCGTTTACTTTTAAATTTTAGCAAATTTAGTCTTTTGTTGATTTTCTTCTACTTAAAATTCTTACATTCTTATTTTTTATTCAAAATCGTTATAAAATTAAATTGATTTAATTAATTTTTACTTAAAATTGACTAATCAAAATATCAAATTTAATTTAAACAAAATTCTTAAAATTTCTCCTCTTTGAATCTTATCTCACATTTTATTAAATTCTTCAAATGTTATTAAGTGTTCAATAAATTTCTTACTTCTAAACTTAATTTTATTATAAACCTTCAAAATTTTGGATAGGAATTAAAATTGGAGGATTTTAAGTAAAAAAAAGAAAGATGTAATGAACGATTAAATTTACATAATTTTAAAAATAGAAAGGTTTAATTGAGTTATTAAAACCGTATATAATTCAAATAAGAGCAACCAAGGCATTTTATATTTCTATTACAATCCGGGTCCTTCATCAGTCAAATGAAAATTAATGTTCTGTTAATCCATCAACATCATATATAATTGCACTTTGTGATTTTATTACTCGCTGGCTGTAAATAGGGGATACCTAGCTAGCTGCCTTTGGAGTGCATTGTCTAGTGTAGATAACTGAATAATGGATATTCTATCAGTATTTTACTTGTTATAGAAATATGTTGTTATTTCTTAAACGCTATCAAAGTTAGGTTAAGTATAAACCGTTTGCATTGTGACCTTGAGATCACAAGAACCTCCAAGACCATATGTTCAAACATGTAAGTGAATATTACAACATTGTTAAACTCACACATCAATCCATGTCAACTAGTATATGCTCAATTTTTATAGTTTGATTATCCAATGATGTACCTTTTTCTTTATGTCCCTTAAATTTCTGAATCAAATTTTTTTTATTATAATTGTGTCTTGTAGTTAATTATTTTTTTACTCTCACTTAAACAAAATATTTTCACTTAAACAAAAGTGCAAAATAAACATTAACTTTAGGGTGAAGTTCACATAAAAAATGCAGAAGATTTTAGCCTAAACTTATACTCTGCAGATTTGAAAACATAAATATGACATTTTTTTCTCAGGTCAATGAGAAATATGACTAAGTGTTGTATAATTAGCATTTTTCATGTACATACAGGCTGACATGGAAAACAAATCCAATCACTCACTTGAAGTTTTTAGTGAGTGTTTACAGATTTGATTTTTTTTTTTTTATAAAAATGATTTTAGTTAAAATTAGATTAAAGTGAAATTGTTTTATTTTTACTTTCTTTTATCAAATATGTTTTTAAGAATCAACTTGACTTTTGTTTTAAAATCACGTTTATAAAATAAACTGACGCACAAGGAGCTGAAACATTCCCCTAATCGAAACGTGCAACGTAGTTCGATTTGATTTAAGAAAATAATATCAAAACTAAATTAATTCGAATTGATATTTTATTTTTTAAAATTGGATCAATTTTTTATCATGTTTTTTAAGGGATGCAATTTCATTGGTAAATAAAATAAAAATTTACTAAATAGAGTATGAATAGAATCATAGTTACATAACCTTTTTTTAGTAATTAATTTTTTATTTAAACATAATGATTTTCAATAAAAGGTCAAATATATAGTAATTATGAAGAAAAAAAAACCATCAAATATCACCATAAATAAAATTTTAGTCTAAATTATATATCATAAACCATAATAATCTCTCTTTTATTATATATATATATATATATATATTATAAAATATACTTCGAATTAGTACTGATGTAAAGATAAAATAGAAAAGCTAATATAATATTAGTAGTTTTCAAAACTTTTGTCTATGAAAATTGGGTTTAGCTCATCCAGAATTAAGAGTAAATTTTAATACTCTTACAGTACTTGATTTCTTATGGCTACATTTTTTATGTAGTGATTTTTAAATTAAAATAAATAACTAAATAACCATACAAATAAATTAATTGAATTTACATTTTTTAATAAAAAATAACTTATTTAATACAATTTTAAAAGCTAGAGACGCAAAATAAAATAAAATAAGTTTATGAAACTAAACTGAAAGAAAACTAAAAGTTAAGAAACTTGTTTATTAACTTAAATTAATAAATATATTTTTTATTATGCCAACAACGGTTGATTTAAAATCTCTCTCTCCATGTCAAAGTCTCGGTGTTGGGTGTTTTATAAGTATCTTTGTAAGTGTTATTTGAGTCTTGAGGTATGTCACGAGTAACTAATTTGTTTATTTATTGTAAGTGTAGTAAAATTATATTATCTATTATAATGAATGTACATTAATAAAACTTTTTTATATACATCTATTAATTGTTTAGTCATTATATAACTCAATTTTTATTTAGTATAGTAGTAAACACAATTTATATTAGTAACATATATGAGTAGCAATTTAATTAAATGTTTATTTAGTAATATTTTATTGTATATGAGGTGTGTCCCACAAGTTTAATTATAAAATTTATTAGCATACAAGTTAATGAAAACATATTTTAATAAATTATATAAAATAATTTATCAATTTTTTTAATTATAAGAACCACAAGTTATTTTTGTAAGATGTTTTCACGTATAAAAACACTTGTAAGATCTAAAAATAAATTCAAAATAAAATTTAGTAATAATTAGTGATTTAAAAAATAATTAAATATTTAAAACATATATAAAAAATCGTCAGTGAACAATTTTTAACCAAAAGTTGTCAATGATGATTTTTTAAAAATTTATATTTCGGTAATTTTATAAAAAAATTGCATATTTTTTGAATTTTGATAAAAAAAAAAGTAGCTAACAAAAATCCTCTCTAATATTTTAAAATTTATATAAAAATACGTAAAGTGTAAACCCTAAACCTTAAACTTAAGTTGAGAAAACAGGGGCACGTGATTGAGAGGTGAAGCTATTATGGATCTCTCTCTTTCTTATATATTGTCAGTCTTTCTTTTCAGGTTGAGCAGTTTCATTTATTATTCAGCGGTTCGTAGATGCATAACCCGTTACTACCCTTTCTGTTGATAAATATGGGCCCAAACAGAACAAAGGGCCCAGTCATCAATACAACAAGGATAAGACAAAACGACAAAGCCTGCTTCCTCAAAGATCCGACAATATCTGCTCCATTTACGCCATAGATACCGCTGCTACGTTTGGAATCAAGGAAAAAACAAATAACGGCAAAAATTAAATTTAAATTGAAAAAATGAATTTTAAAAATATTACTTTTTAACCAAATATACAAAATATTATTTATTATTTTCATTTTTTTTCTCTCATTAATTTTTGTCAACTTTCTCCCATTCAAAGGAGAGGCTAAGAATGTAGATTTATTTAAATGATTAGTCTACAACTCCCAATTTAAATTATTTCACCTGTCTAATGTGAATGGTTTTATCTACTTTGAAATGATTATTATACAATAAATTATTAATTTTAAATCTTACAATTGACAATATTCCTAAAAAATAAAATTTATCTACAAAACAATGTGCATATATACCTCACACTGCCGCAGTTGCATGTGGTGTGGCTGGCGTGTTTGGTCACGCATTACATAACATTACATAAAATAAAAATTAACATTTAATATTATATATATTTTTATATAGAAATGAAAGTCCATAACACAATTCCTTTTACCACTATCATTCTAAAAAACATGCAGGTTTGCACAAAAAGAATAAAAAAATATTAATAAGAGGGCGAAACTAATAACTAGTAAGAAAATTATTTTTATAAGCTAAATCTTTAAAAATGATTAAAATTATATTTAAATATGTACGTGGGGATAATTAACTTTTTAAAATTTTAGTCATAGTATTTTTTTATCTATGTGTTACAGTTACTATGTAATTTGGAACCGAATATTATTTTTCTTTGATATATAAATTATTTATTTAATTTTTCAGATAATATTATTTTTTTAAAAATTGGCATACATGGCCTTAATAATTTATAATTGGTTTTCTGCTTAAATTTACCTTTTTCCTAAAAAAATCGTGATTCTTTTTATTTGCTCCGTATTTAAGTGAGGGCTAATTTTAAAAAATATGTATTATGTTTTCATATTTATATGTATTTAAATCTTAATTTTGAAAATAAAAAAAAGTTAATTTATTGATATATTAAATTTTAATTTTTTTATGAATATAGGATGGAAAATAAATATTTTATTATTTTTTATTATTGATCATGAATACACGACAAATAAGCATATATATATGTGCAGTGTAAAACAATGTGTCGGACAAATTAAATACGTCACACAACTGGGCAGTGCTGAGAATAGCATGAATAATTATGAACTAATTAATACATTATTGCAATTTTCTTTTATACTACTTTTTTCTATTTTTATTTTATGTCTCTCCCTTTTTAATGGATGTGTATACAAATGATGGGAAAGGATTGCGCAACCAGTTTTGTTATAATCTATAAGTTAAAAACTATGTAACTTCACTTTCGACATCTCGAATATATTCAAAATAAATATTGAATTAGTTAATTTTAAATTTTATAAAAATTCATTAAGTGATACAAACATAATAATAATTTTTTTGAAGCATAAATATTAGTTCATAACATAAACGTTTGCAAAAATATATTAACTACTAAGACGTTGAATTCAATTATTATATATAAAAATAGAAGTTCTATTTAGTTTGACAAAGAATAAAACGAATTTGCTATGACAAATAAAAAATAAAAAATTGGCAGAAATCATGTGTGGAGGTGCTTATGATGAACTGTGGTTCCAATGCAATTCAGACAACGTATGTGGTAAGGATGTGTGCGTGACAGGAAAGGTAAAAATCTGTCGACAGTTGTACATGCTACAAAGAAAACGTGACATTTATAATGCTAACTAAAGGGAGTTTCACAATAATTGCAAGTTATCAATTTTTAAATA